GAGAGACAAATGAGGTGAAGGCTCATGGTTAACATGTAAAGAGTGTCCGCTTATCTGCCACAAAGTAGACGCTGATGGCTACTGTGTCTCCTCAGATCTTCAGTAAAGTCTATAGGACTCCTGAAATGCTGGGGCGATGTTTTGTTTTGTGGAATCTGGTGAAGAACCTGGGTTCCGTATCTTCTTCTCACAGGAGTAGCACGGATGGCTTGCTCACTTACCCAGGCAAGGGGAACCCTCATTGAGATTTGAGTGACATTCTGGAGAACTATCTGAACCGTTCAGATTCAAGTCACCTTCTCATGTCATCACACATTAAACCCCCACCCCGGACTAGACCAGAATTCATCCTGACCACAAGGGTTAAATTTTTAGACCTATGTGAGAGGAAACTAAAAACATGACTTGAGATCATACTGAAGACTCATCCTGGAGATTCCAAAGGGAAGTAATGGAAACTACCGAAGCCAGCCCTGTTAACCTTGGAAGAGGTGACAAATCATTACACAATCACAAAATGCATGAGCATGTATTTTAAAGGGAAGAGAACAAGTCTTTATGGGAAAGTAGCTCTAAGACAGCATGTGAATTCCAACATGAGTTAGAGTGCTATCCCATAATTTCCATGTCACTGATGTTCAACATGACAGGAGGCACCACCATCTAAGCGAATGATATGCACAATCTACTAGAATTGTGTTTCCGTCTATCAAAATCCCAGGAGGAAACAGGATTCACCACAGTTGGTTTAAAAAAAGAGATCGGTGTGGAGGGACCACTGCTGAGGGATAAGTTGAGTTCAGAGGACAAATCAGGGATGAGCAGTCACCAGGAGCCTAGCAACACGAAAGTCCTTATCCTCCCTACTATTTAAGCGATTGTGGAGGAAGGATTGTTCATGGAGACCCGGGGGAGCTAAAGCAGTGGAGTGGGGCCATCCAATGTGAGGGACAGACATAGAGGGAACCCAAAGATGAAAAACCAAAGTTGAAAGGAGAGAAGAAGGCATAGCCTGACCACTCTGCCCTCTATTTTTCAGTATTTTTTTTTATTGACTGAACACAACCAGACACCATCTAGAAAGAAAAACCTAGGGTGACAGAGGACATGGGGAAGAGAGGAGAAGGATGGGGAAAGGGAGTTTTGGAGATTCTAGTGCAGGTTTGAGGAGTGGAGATGGCAGATGGAGAATCATCGCATAGGGCTGCTGTCTGGTATGAAACTCTGATTTTAAAAGGAAAAAAAAAAAGAATTCAGTAGTGTCCAATGTGTGGGTTTGGGACAAAGTATTCCAGCAGGCATATGCCAGTACAGATTGGGGTGCAGGAAATCATAGCTCAGAAGGATGTCCATGCGAGGTCCTTGGTCTGACCCTGGAGAAGTAGGGGCTGGCACCATACTTCTGGAGTGGGTTTGTGGCCAGGTTTCTGACGTCACGTGTGACCTGTCTGTGGCTGAAATTTCATTATTTCCAGGTTGATTTATTGCGCTGCTGGGAGACTCAGAAAGGCATGCTTCTAACCCTGGCTCACTGACGTTTTTACTGTGGTTGAGGAAAGCCAATGGGAACAGGAGTCACTCCCTGTACTATGTGCCTTTCCATCTCATGCTGGAAAAGCTCTCTTAAAAGGTCAGGTTCCTCATGAGGCTCTACCACCTGTCCATATGGTCAGAACCTAAAAATAAGGCAATACTCATTTTATATACTGAGATTTGACATTGATCTCCAAGGGAGAGTTCTCAGGGTTTTGAAAGGTCACTGAAGGTATAATTCTCTATCTTTTGTCCATGTCCCCAAGGGAGAATAATGGTATTCTTTCTATCCACATGGCTCTGGTTAGGTCTCCTCTGAAGTATAGTAGTGTTGTCCTTGGTCTTGATATATCTGGATACCCATATAAATCCTTCTCTATAATGCAACTGGAAAGATTGTTCCAAAATGGAAATCTCATGAAATCAGACACCTTTGCTTAAAACCCTTCAGTGATTGTCCCTTGCCCTTCGAAAACATCTGGCATTCTTATAGATGCTTCACTGTCTGACCACGATCGACCCTTAGAGTCATCATTCACCAACATCAGCTCTCAACCCAACACAGGTGCACTCTCTCACACAGAGTCAACCACCACATACCATCTATCTCTAGGTTTTTGTTCTACTTGACAGTCCACACCTCTTCATTTTCTTTTTTTTTTATTGATTTTAATTTTTAAATACATGACATTGGAATGCATCACAATTCTTATTATACATATAGGACAATTTTTCATACCTCTGTATATAAAATAGGTTGACACCCAATTCGTGTCTTCATACATGTACTTTGGATAATGATGTCTATCACATTCCACCATCCTTGCTAATCCCCTGCCCTCTCCCTTTCCCTCCCACCCCTCTGCCCTATCTAAAATTCATCTATTCCTCCCATGCTCCCCCTCCCTACCCCACTATGAGTCAGCCTCCTTATATCAGAGAAAACATTCGGCATTTATTTTTGGGGGATTGGCTAACTTCACTTAGCATTATCTTCTCCAACGCCATTCATTTACCTGCAAATGCCATGATTCCCTAGATGTCCTTCAGTGGATGAATGGATTAAAAAATGTGGCATATATGCACGATGGTATTTTCTCAGCCTCTTCCATTTTCTAACTTGGGATACTATGATGTAGAGACCCATTTCGTTTTCCCTGGGGTTTCCTTTAAAAACATCGTAGATGAAAACTGCCTGATATGTTTGCTACAAATGAAGTGTGTGATCTTCTCATTAGTTTCTTTCTTTTTTTTTAATCATCCTAAAAGAAGTCTCATAAGTCATGCCTAGGTTTTACCAGGGATGCATAATAATGAAGCCAGTCTCCTGATTTAGCAACCCTCCTGGGAGTTCTCCCTCTCTTACTGCAGATCAGAGATGCTACATCTGAGATCAGATACCAACAGAGAGGCCTCAGATCCAGGGCTGACCCATTGATGGCTTCACTGGGGATATGCGAGTGTTATGGTTTGGGTTTGGAATGTCCCCCAAAAGCTTATATGTTGAAATCATGGTTCCCAATGCAGTAAGGTTCAAAGGTGGGACTTTTAGGCAATGGTCGGATTATAAGAGTTCTAACGTCCATTAAGTGGATTTTATGGAGAAGGGATCTAGTTGGTGGAGGTAGGTGACTGGGGCCCTGCCTCAAAGAGTTTATCTTCTTCTTAGCTCTTTTCCCTACACTCCCCTTCCTAGTTGTCAGAGCTGAGCAGCTTCCTTTGCCACACCCTTCTGCCAAGATGTCAGGCACAAAGGACTGGAAACGACTAGGAACAGAATCCTCTGAAATAATGAGCTAAAATAAATCTTTCCTCTTCTGAGTTTTTGGTCACAGCAACGGAAAACTGACTAATATAGGAAGGTAAAGTGATGCATTCAGGGAGATTTCATAAGTACTGACATTTTTAAAAAGAAAAAACAGAGTCAGAATGTCAGGGCACAAGATTTATCCTGTTTTATTTGATTGTTATTGAATATGTAATCTGCAAGTGGAATTTCCTATTAAATAAAGAGGGCGCATATTTTTAATACAAAATGAAAGCCATGAATTCATCGAAGAAATTATTTGAGAGGCTTAAAACATCTTTTAATGTTTTAGAGAAAGAGAAATACAAAACTTTCTGGAGCCAAACATTGTTCTAGTTGCTGTGGATGAAAAAAGAATAAAAAGAAACAATGTCTGTGCTGTCTTGGGATAAGACTGGGGAAAAACTAAATAAATCAACAGCCACCAAAGAATTGCAATGCTTGGTCAGGCCAATTAATTAATTAGCCCCAGGTGACATCCCTTTGAGGAAGGAACTACTACTATTTTCATTATTTGTTCTTTTAAAAGTAATTTGTATTGTGGTAAAACGCACATAACAGGATTTACCATCTTAACCATTTCAAGTGTACAGTTCCATGTTATTACATATATTCAAAGTATTGTGAAATTGTCACCATCATCCATCTCCATAATTCTTTTTTTAAAAAAATATTTTTTTGGTTGTAGTTGGACACAATACCTTTATTTTATTTATTTTTATGTGGTGCTGAGGATCGAACCCAGTGCCTTGTATGTGTTAGGCGAGCGCTCTACCGCTGAGCTACAACCCTAGCCTCTCCATAATTCTTTTTGTCATGAAAAAACAGAAACTCTGTATTCATCTAACAGCAACTTTCCATAGCCACCCCAGCTCCTGGAAGCCACCATTCTACTCTCCAGGGTTTTGACTGCCCTATGTACCAAGGAAGGGCTATTTGTGTTACAGTTGAGGAAACTAGACTGGGAGAGTTTAGGTGACTCCCTCTAGTAACCAGTTAGTAAGTAGAAATGCTGAGGTTTAGTCTCAGCCAGCCTACTCCTGGGCTGTTGTCTTTTGTGCTTCACTACCTCCCCACCTTTGTTGGTAGTCCTGGGTTGCATGTTGGGAACAGAGAGGGAACAGGACACACACAGCCCTGCTTTCATGGTCTCCCAACTTCCAAATGGTTTTGACCTTTACCTACAGAAAGAAATACATTTCATACTATTATTTGTCATAGTTGTTATAGCTCATTTCCTAAGAAGTAAAAGTTTCATGAAATAACACTTAACTTTTACAATTTATATACTTTTGTTTTTCTTATTTTATTCTATTGCATCTTATTTAATGAGATGATGATTGAGATCCACTTACTACATTGATTTTGAGACCCACAAATGAGTTGTATTTTATAGTCAGGAAAATGCTGGTCCAAAGTCATCTGTAGGCTTGCTTCTTGGCTACCAATCCATGAATAGCCCTTCTGATGTCTCAGTTTCCCTTCTGATTATCCTAGGAAGGACCATACCAGTTCATTTATGCTGATTTAGGTCCTAGGGACTATCCCAGGAAAGACCTTGCTGGTTCATTTATGCTGTTTTAACTCCAAAGTATGGGATAAGGTCTAAGTCATCATAGCTCTGATTTATAGGGCTTCCTCTTGGGCTTCTATCTTACAGGACCTGCCTCTGGGCTCACCCCGCTGTAACCTGAAGGAGAATCTGCTGAAGGATAACTGTGCCCCGGAGTCCATCGAGTTTCCTGTCAGTGAGGCCCAAGTCCTGGAGGCCAGACCTCTCAGTGACAAGGGTTCCGGAGATGGCTCTCAGGTTACTCAAGTCAGTCCCCAGAGGATTGCCCTCCGGCTACGGCCAGGTAGGCATGGGGCTTATTTTTGAGAAGAAACCTGGGACAGGTGGGCATAAGGCATGAGGTGGAGGTCTGAGCAGGAAATCTTGGGGGAGTATCTCAGAATGGGGTGGGAAGAGAAGCATGTGAGGGAAGATCTAGGTAGGAGAATGGAAGAAAATGCCAAGTATTAGGGTTTTAGTCAGCAGATCTGAGTTTGAATCTCAACTCTACCACGTATTAGGTACTTAGCCTTGAGCAAGTTACTTAACTTTTCTGACATATCAGGTGCTCAAAAAACATTTGTTCTCCCCAATGCCCATTTTACATAGCGTGTAACTCCCTGCTGAGGTGTGACTGAGATGAAGAATGAGAAAGCAATTTGGGAGGCCCTTTTCCATGGGGAGAGAGACAAGGAATGGGGCAGACAAAGTAGGGACAAAAGACCTTCAGAAGGAAGGAGGATGAGGCTAGGAGACAGGCTTTTTGAAAGCACTGACTTTGACTTTCTGATTAAATTAATAAGAATTTAAGAGAGGGCTAGGGTTGTGGCTCAATGGTACAGCATTTGCCTAGCATGTGTGAGGCACTGGGTTTGAGTCTCAGCATCACATATAAAATAAAATAAATAAAGATCCATCAGCAACTAAAAATAATCTATCTATATCTATTTATATATCTATAAAGAATTTAAGAGAGACTTACTATGTGCCAGGCATGTGTCAGGTGCTATGGATTCAGAGAAGAGTAGGACAAAGTTCCTGTCTTTTACACACTCTGGAGTGTGGTAATTACCCAAACTCCTGTGATTCAGGATGATAGACTCTTGGGATCCAAAGGATTAGACAGATGGGAATTTTAAGAGGGTGAAAAATCATACACTTAAAAAGAAGAGGTTAAAAATAGGAATGGTCAAGAGTTTGAAAGAGGAACATAATCATAAAGCAAGAGAGAAGGGACCAGGGCTTTCAAGTTTGGTTGATGAAGCAGTTACTTTTTCCCAACGGTGGCTTAATTACTTATTCAATCTTGGAGGAAGAAAAGGAGATAAACTAATATCTTTATGGCTTCCAGATGACTCGAAGAATTTCTCCATCCAAGTGCGGCAGGTGGAGGATTACCCTGTAGACATCTACTACCTAATGGACCTGTCTTACTCCATGAAAGATGATCTGTGGAGTATCCAGAACCTGGGTACCAAGCTGGCCTCCCAAATGCGCAAGCTCACCAGTAACCTGCGGATAGGTTTCGGGGCCTTTGTGGACAAGCCTGTGTCACCATACATGTATATCTCCCCACCAGAAGCCCTCAAAAACCCCTGTTATGAGTAAGTCTCTCCTCCAGAAACCAGGGAAGCACCCCTCCCCCTTTGTCCCAGGCAGGTCCAAGTCCTGGTTCCCATTTCTAGCTCTAGGGTTGCTTTGTTGGCTGCCTTCTGGTCAACCCATAGCTCCTTTCTACTCTAGTTTTCCCATCTGACACACGGGTTAGCCTGTGGATCTGGAGTATTGTGCCAATAGAGTCCAAGGCTAGTTGGGGACCTAGAAAGAAAATTCATCAGCTTCTTGGTCTTTGTCACAAATATATAGGAGGAAAGAGAATGGGAAAGCAGTGAGGTCCAAAGCAGAGGGAAATTCGTGGATAAGTAAGCAGAGGAGTTATGCTTTCCGAAGGCTTGCTTTTATTGTTGTCATCGAGGGCCTGGATTCTGTAGGGTTAAAATGCAAGAAATTAAATCCTAGAGATATTGAACCCTTTAATAGGGTGTAAATTGATGAATAGGGTGTTTTGTGGTGCTGGGTATTGAATCTAAGGTCTTGTACATGCTAGGCAAGCACTCTACCACTGAGACACCCCAGCCCTGGTTTCACACTTGAATTTATGGCGGAATGACTTATTTAATTGGTGAATACTATGCAAATCCATGTATTATGGTAATTAAAAATGATGGTTACTCTGTGCCTGACAAGGTGTGAATTTGCTTTTTAGTTTTCAAAGTTTTATGATAAAGTTTCCCCACCCCTACCCCATACCAAGGATTGAACCCAGGGGCACTGAGCCACACACCCATCCCTTTTTATTTTATATTTTGAGACAGGGTCTTGCTAAGTTGTTCAGGGCCTCCCTAAGTTGCTGAGGCTGACTTTGAACCTGCAATCCTCCTGCCTCAGCGTCCTGAGCTGATAAGATTACAGGTGTGTGCCACTGTGCTGGACTGTTATCACTTTTAACCTTCTGTCTAGGTTGTACTTTTTACAGGAAAGACATCATCTATTAATTAAACAAGCAAACTATTAGTCTGGGGACAGCAATGTTCCTGTCTGGACATGATATATCAACTAATTGATATTTTAGGGACTTTCTTTTGTGATGGACTTTTGCTGTAGTGTTACTATAGAGAAGTGTTCATTATAAGGTCACAGCAACAACAACTCAAGTCTTAGTCTGGCCTAAATTCTTACTTGCTTACTCCTCACAACAGCTCTTATGAGATACGTGCTATCATGTCCCTGGTTTCCTGGGTTAGGATTAGAGGGGTATGTTGAAGTTCACATGACTAGTAAGTGGAGAAGCTGGGATTTGAACTCAGGCAGTCTGGTTTCACAACTCACTGTCTTTTCTGCAAGGCTAGCAGAAGATGAGGTTGAAATGAGAGAGTTGGCATCTGATCTGTCTGGGCATTTGTGATTGTGTGGAACTGGCCTGGGCATACGACAGTCCGTATTTGTCTGATTCTCTTTCCCTTCCAATTTCTTGCTGCCTTTTTCCTTCAGGGTGTCTGCTTACATTATCTCTTGTTCCTTCTCAGCATGAAGAATGCCTGTTTGCCTATGTTTGGCTACAAACACGTGTTGACACTAACAGACCAGGTAACCTGCTTCAATGAGGAAGTGAAGAAGCAGAGTGTGTCACGGAACCGAGATGCCCCAGAGGGTGGCTTTGATGCCATCATGCAGGCTACAGTTTGTGATGTGAGTTTGGAGGGCTTGGGTGCCAAGCGTGGTTGGCACAGATCAAAGTGGGGAAGTGGCTCACCCTAGGGATTTCTGGTGCAATCTGAGATAAGAACTAGGCTGAACTTTGCACAGTATGAGTAATAAGTTGCTCCTGGTATGCAGTTCCTGCTTATATCTACTCCTTGACCAGAAGAGAGAACTCTTTGAACCTCACTGGTTCCAGTTGTTTTCTGGGGAGAACATCTTACCTTGTCTGGTATTCTTTCAAAATCAAGGCTGAGTTAACTTAACCTCAGCAATGTGGGTAGATGTTCAGATGGAATTTCTTCTAGCCCAGCCCAGCTGTAGGTGGGTAACATGACTATCAGTGGAAGAGTTATGTTTGGAGTTTAAGAGGGAGTCATTTGGCTGTTTGAATTAATCAGTTATGAAATTATTTATTTTCCTAAGAAATTTCTGAATTAGGAAGCTCTAACTTGGATTCCAAGGGATAGGGCTGAGGTCCTTCTCCAAGATGACTTGTCCAGCCCTTCAGGCAGGGAGGTCCTTAGATCTTTGTTCTCTATCAATGATATGGCTGAAGTTGCTTTGCTCTTTTACTTTTTTTTTTTAAACAGGAAAAAATTGGCTGGAGGAATGATGCATCCCATTTGCTAGTTTTTACCACTGATGCCAAGACCCACATAGCACTGGATGGAAGGCTGGCAGGCATCGTCCAGCCCAATGATGGGCAGTGTCATGTTGGCACTGACAACCATTACTCTGCCTCCACTACCATGGTGAGATGCCTGGCACCACCCATGGTCCCTATCTATTATGGCTGCCCTAACCCAGGCAGAGTCCTTGTGTGAATAGGAAAATGACAGCCCTTCTTCTGGGTAGTGAGCAGTTCCCCAGCTCCTGTCTCCTGTCAGCTGGACATCCCCCTCCAGAGTACAGCCTGCGCAACCATTACAGAGCCTTGACTGGGTCAGTGTTCCCACTGCTTCCCTTGTCATAGCACCAGCGGCAGCACCATGGCACCCAGAATGTGTCCAAAAGACTCTCACAGGCCTAGCTGGAAAACAGGTCTTCCCCTCCTGCTCTGTGCAGATGAGTCCTCATTTCGGACATCATGTTCACTTGGGGTTATTGGGAGAAGACAGAGGAAAAAGAGACAAAAATCATCAAAAACACAGAGTGCCAGTCCTATAAGGAAACATTAAAGGGCTTAAAGTCATTAGCTTGAAGAAAATGGATGACTGAGCTGATATGCAAGAAGACTTCTTGTACGTTTTTTAATGTTTTTTAAAATGTTTTAACTATGCACAATTCATTAAATAAGAGGAAACGCATTTAAATTGAAACAGAAGTCATTGTAAGCCATAAGATAAATATTGCTGATGCTCAGAATCCTGATACTTCTTCATCTCTAAAAGATAATAAGTGAGCAACTGTCTTATCAGGTAGCTTACAGGTACCCCTGTGTAAAGGCAGGAGACTGAACAGGATGATCTCATGAGCTCCCTACAGGGTGTAGGAGCCCACGGATATGTTCTCACTTCACCCCCTCACCAGTGTGGCTGGAGTTCCTTGGTGTCAGCCATATCCAAGTCAAGTACCACTAGGCAATGGGCGAGTCAGCCACCTTTGACACTACCCTATGCAGGGAACTGGATCAGGAGCTGAGGGACATAAAAACTATCCCAAGATCCTACTCTTAGTAGTTTTTGGTTTAGTTGAAAGGCAAGGACATATATATTTATTAATAACACAAAATGCATGATGAATGCAAAATGGGTGGCGTAGTCAATAAAGGCTACTGGTAGGTATCCAAAGGAAAAAAGGCTCATTAAGAGCTGGGATGGTCAAGGAAGGCCTCCTGGAGAAGGTAGAACTCGAGCTAGTTCCTAAGGAAGGAGGTGGGTTACTAAAAAGAAGGCCATTCCAGGTGGAAGGAAGCATGGCCCAGGTCAAGCCTGAGTGGAAGTGGATTGGAGGTGAGCAATGTTTAGAAGAAAGGCTGAGACCACATGGTGGAGGATCATGAGAGCCAGGTGAAGGTGTTTGTCCATTGCTCCAAGATCAGGCCTAACCCAGGGCTGACCCCAGGGAGTTAGTTTATGGTTTTGCTGCATTAAGTTTGAGTAAGAAGAAAAGAGGTGCTTAGCTTTGATGTCACCAACCTGTCACCTTCATTTAACTCCGGAGCTCACAGCTAGGTTTGTGCTGCTACTTTATCCTTCTTGCTTATATATTAGTAAATCATAAAGCAAAGAGGTTTATTTGGGCTAGTGGTTCTGGAGGTGCCATATCTGGTGATGGTCTTCCTGCTGGCAGAGTCCCGAGCAGTGCAGAGAGTCATATCTCAAGGGTCAGAGAGCACATGTATGTATGTGTCTCTTCTGATCTTTCTCTTCTTATAAAGCCACCAGGATTTAATCATGGGGGGGCTCCACCCTAGTGACCTTATCTAATCCTCGTTTTCTCCCAAAGGCCCTTACCTACCTCTAAACACCACACACAGTTGGATTAAGTTTCCATCTTATTAATACCTCACAATGGAATCAAATTTCAACCCATGAAATCTCGAGGGACATACTCAAACCATATCCAAACACAGTTGCATCTCTCTTTGCCTGTGGAGTAAAAAAGTCTTGGTCACAGCCTAAGTTAGCCAAGTTCAAAGGCATAGAATCCATTGAGTATGTGAGACATCTTCATTAACCTCCATGTCCTTACCCCTTTCCAGGATTATCCCTGTCTGGGGCTGATGACTGAGAAACTATCTGAGAAAAACATCAATTTGATCTTTGCAGTGACTGAAAATGTAGTCAATCTCTACCAGTTAACTGTGCCTCTGGGGCTCTGTGGAGTGGACCCTGTGATGGACGGTCCTGTTATTGGGAGCTAGCCTATGGTACTGTCAACTGGGGACCCAATAAGGAAAGATCTTTCTTCAAACCACTCCTCAGAAGCTTAAGATTCCTCTCTGTGGCCTTTCCCCTCCAACCTCCAACCTATTAGGGTGTGTTAATGTTTGATCTGATGGAGGGGAGGCAATTCAATGAGGTGAGGAGTAGGAGGATTTCCTATAATTTTGCTCAGGCCTTAAAAATTGCTAGATATATTCCTGGAAGTGACAAATGAAATATCCTATACTTTTCTTCAATTTTTCATTTCAAGAATCAGTCTGATTTGGGGGGTGGTGCTTTAGGAGATCCCTCCTTTCCTTCAGTAAACTCTGGATATCTTTACCTTTCTTTCTAGAACTATAGTGAGCTCATCCCAGGGACCACAGTGGGGGTTCTGTCCACTGATTCGAGCAATGTCCTCCAGCTCATTGTGGATGCTTACGGGGTAAGTATCTTGTGCTGGGAATGACCTGCCACTTGGCCACTTGATTTGGCTTGCTATGCAGAAGGACTCAGATTTGGGAGTCCTGGCTGTCAGTCCATCATGAAGCCAAAGTGCCTTCCTCTTGTGCTCCCAGAGCCAGGGGATGACCAACCCTGGGAGGGATGCAGCCTCTGAGAGAGGCAGGGAGGAGTGGGGACAATGAGTAGAGAGCTAAAAGAAGGTGGAAGGGGATAGTGAGGGGGACTAGATGGAGAAGCAATTGTGAGGTGCTGAGTGGGGCACAGTTTAGGTCCAACAACAGAGAAAAGAGGGATCTGAAACATGGGCAGGGTAAGAGTGACAAAAAAATCAGATAGAGGCTGGGCATAGTGGCACATGCCTATAATTCCAGAAATTTGGGAGGCCAAGGCAGTTTGGGGTCAGCCTGGACAACTTAGGGAGACTCTGTCTCAATTAAAATAAAAAATGACTGGGGGTATAGCTTAGTGTTAGAGCACTTGCCTAGCATGTGCAAGACCTTGGATTCAATCTCCAGTAATGGAAAACAAAATTAGGTAGAAAAGTGCTGCTACCCAAGGTGATCCATTTTGACATTTCTTTAATGTATGCCTTTGAGGCCTGCAGAAGGGTGTGGCTGGTTTAGATTTTACCCAGATTTATCTGGACACAAGTGGGGACAGAAAGAGGGAGGAGATTCCTGGGCAGGAAATAGAGCCGGAAATAGGCTCCCAGGATGCTCCAGTAGCCGCCACGCTAACCTCAGCACCTGGCACTGCCACGGTAAGTTCAAGGCCACCCAGCAAATTTTGCCTGGGATGAAACTGGCTCTTGCCCATTTCCTTTCAGCTCATTTCTTTTGTTCTTTTCTGCTCAGAAAATCTGCTCTAAAGTAGAGCTGGAAGTGCGTGACCTCCCTGAGGAGTTGTCTCTATCCTTCAATGCCACCTGCCTCAACAATGAGGTCATCCCAGGCCTCAAGTCTTGTGTGGGACTCAAGATTGGAGATACGGTGAGGTGGGCTGGGCAAGACTGAAGATGCAGCTCTGACCCTGGCCTGTGCCCTGGAGTATCTGTGGGCATCCTAGCCCCTTCTTTTCTGGTACCTTCTTCCTGAAGGTTATTACAAATGAGATGTGCTGGAGCTGCCAAGCTTTTCCTCTGAAGTTTCTGTCGCCTAAGCTTTCTTTATCTGCTAAGTGAACTTCCCTGCCAGGGTTTCCAAGAACTTCCATTTTGGTTACGTCCGTCTGTATATGTACATTTGATTGCAAATCAAAAATATTTCTTTACCTTCAAACTCTATCCAACTTCCAGATTCCTCCAAGGTAATGCCTTTCTTTTCTCTACAATGTAAAATGACAATATCGTCTATGAATTTTTATGTGCCTAACTATGTGCCAGGCATTGTTCTAGCTGCTGAAGGTTCAACAGCAAATGGAACAGGAAAAATTCCTGCCCTCATGGAATTTGAGGATGCAGATGTTCATTCTGCCCCTCCATATTTTTCCTTATTGGTTGGTTCTCCTTTGCTTCTGTCCAAGGGGAGGGGAAGAAGGAAGAGAAGGAAATAGATCTTCTGATCTACCCATCTTTCTTTAGATCTATATATTGATCTTTCTATCATTGGGTTTTCTGGGCACATGTGCATATACCCCATATAAGAAATTTTGGCCAGTTATGAAATATTATATGAAAATTGAACAGTAGATCTTCAGCTTATGATTGACTACTCTGTGACTCTGTGTGCTGCACAATTGTGCTTTGTGTGCCTTGCTGATATTATGTGACTGTGTTTAGCCAGATATGTCACAATGGCACAACTACCCTGTGTTCTTGGTTTTGCTTTGCGGACGTTGGTGGTGGGAAGGCTGAGGAACTCCAGATCACAGGAGGATTAGACACCCAATCTGGGTACTCCTTGGCAGGACACACACACACACACACACACACACACACACACACACACACTTCTTCTCTTCCGGGGCTTGAGTGTTAACTGGGATACTTATATCTGAATCGGGTCTGGCTTTCCATCCAGGTGAGCTTCAGCATTGAGGCCAAGGTTCGAGGCTGCCCCCAGGAGAAGGAGAAGTCCTTCACCATCAAACCTGTGGGCTTCAAGGACAGCCTCACCGTCCAGGTCACCTTCGATTGCGACTGCACCTGCCAGGCCCAAGCCGAGCCTTACAGCCACCGCTGCAACAATGGCAATGGGACCTTCGAGTGTGGGGTGTGCCGCTGTGGGCCTGGTTGGCTGGGGTCCCATTGCGAGTGCTCGGAAGAGGACTACCGCCCTTCTCAGCAGGATGAGTGCAGCCCCAAGGAGGGACAGCCCATCTGCAGCCAGAGGGGCGAGTGCCTCTGTGGCCAGTGTGTCTGTCACAGCAGTGACTTTGGCAAGATCACCGGCAAGTACTGTGAATGCGATGATTTCTCCTGTGTCCGCTACAAGGGGGAGATGTGCTCAGGTGAGTTGAAGGCCGGCCCCGCAACGTGCCCACGTAGCAGCGTGGCCAAACTTGCACACGCGCTGGTGGCTCCCAAAACGGGCGAGGGCCGGCAGAGCTGCGCAGATGGTGGTCTTCCACCCCAATGGCCAAAGAACCCAGGAGGAAGAGAGGCAAATTGATCTTTCCCTACCTTGTAGAATACAAGAAACCTAAACCATCCTCTGCTTCTAGGCTTTCTCTCCTTCCTGGAATAGGGTAGGAAAGTGGAGGAACTTCAAGGTAAAGATATATATATATTTCTGTTCTTTTCTTTCCTCTACCTACTCTGGCAATATTTTAAGGTCCTAATCTTTTTGAGTATAAGGATTAACACCTTTTTTCTGCCCACCCCCCTCCCCCCAGTCACCGAGTGATGATAATTAAATTTTTAGTATTTCAAGAGACTTGGAAAATAGTAATGTATATGCAAGACATTGAAGCATATCTAATGAACTAATATACTTAGGACAATAACTGGAAGATAGTATGCTCTTTCTTGTTAAATATTAGGCCAGTTTTGTTACCATTGTTGTTGCTTTTCTTTTTGTTTCTTTACTATTACTTTAAATTTTTTTTTTAGTTGTTGATAGACCTTTATTTTATTTATTT